CCCCCCCCCCCCAGCGCTGAGTGAGAGAGTGAAGCACAGGCAGGTCCTGCACAGCTGGGGCAGGTGCAGGACAGAGCCACAAGTGGCTCATCTGGGGCGGGGGGCCTGAAGCATGGGAGGTGCGTGCCCTTGGATGTGCACACGGGACAGGGTGGACTGGGGTGGTGCCAGGCTCTTCCCAGTGCAGCTCTTGAGCCAGACAGTGGCACTGGGAGCAGGGCTATGGGGAGGGCTGCAGGTACCTGAAAATTTGCCATAGACCTGCCCCACCCACTCCCAGCACTGCCGCTGCAACAGGAAGAGCCTGGTGCTGCCCCAGCCTTGCCCACATGCAGATCTGGGGGCACGTGCCTCCTGTGCCTTCCTGGGCTGCATGCTCCCCCCTTGTTGCACCCCCTGAACAAGCTGCTCATGGCTCCATCCCATGCCCACCCCAGCTGTGCAGCATCAGCCCCTGCTCCACTCCTCCCTTTACCACTGCGCATTCATCCCACCCCACCCCTGCTGCAGCCCCCAGAAGCCCACAGCCAGGCTGCCTTGTGGCCCTACTGCTGCCCTGCATGTGTGGGGGCTAAGCCCTGTTGGCTTCCCCTCTTTTGCAACCTATGCCCTTGTGTGCCCTGCCATGGGGTGAGTGGGGCCCCAGCTAAGCTGGTCCGGGGGAGAGTCAGAGCCCAGCTGGCTCATCCAGGCACAGGGGGGAAGGGGGGCTCCTGCTACTGTATGTACCCTGGCAGGACCCTGGGGCTGTTCCTGCCTCCCTGCACCAGAGAGAGGACTTCAGCTAAGGAGGGGGAGGAGGGAGGCAGGGGAGGACCACAGGCAATCACCCCAGTGCTCAAGGCGGGGACAGGCCAGCTCCTTCTGAGTCCTGCAGTTCAGCCATGCAGTCAGGAACCATGTGGTGCCTGGAGTGCTGTGGTGAGGGGCAGGTAAGCGTGAAAGTGGCAGTAGGCAGCAGGGAAGTGGCAGCAAGTAGGTGAGCGGACACAGGAGTGCAGCAGCAGCAGCTGGGTGGGAGCACATGGCCTGTGCCAGTGTCCTGGGGCCAGGACCGGTGGGGCCCAGAGCAGGGCAACAGGAGCATGGGGCCCAATCTGGCAGGGGTCTGTGGAGCCAGGCCAGGCTGCGCCAGCAGGGAGACTGGGGATCTAGCCTGGCTCCATAGAGCCCCTGCCAGCCCATGCCCATGCTCCTGCCACCATGCTCTGGGCCCTGCCAGCAGTGGTCCTGGGACATTGGTACAGGTCCTGCACTCCCACCCCGCTATTACTGGGCTCCTGCGCGCCCACTTGCTGCCACTCCCCCCCCCCCCCCCCCCCCCCC